TTAGGCCCTTGTGCTTGCCAGGCAAGTACTTATTCTACTGAGCTATCTCCCCAGGGCCCCACCCCCGGGGATTGAACAATTGAACTCAGGCCCTTGTGCTTATTCTACTGAGCTATCTCCCCAGCCTTGTGGCTGTTTAGAGAGAAAGGGACATTCCTGCACTGAATATTGAATAATTAGAGATATTTATAAGGCACTAAATCCTTTCTCTCAATTTTTTTTAAATTTTTTCAATTTTCTTAAATTCAGACTATTTTAGATTATTAAAACACCTTCATGGGTCTGGCGTGATAGCTCAGTGGACTAAAGTGCCTGCTTAGGCAAGCTTAGGCAAGCGCAGGGACCACAGTTCAATCCCCAGCAGCACATGCCACTCCAGCCCTGCCCCCATGGTGGGCTGAGCCAGCCAGAGTACAGGCATAGTGGCACATGCCTATAATTCCAGTACTATGGAGGCTAAAAGCAGGAGGATCACCACAAGTCCGAGCTGCATAGTGAGACCCTGCAACGACCAAATACATAATAAACAAACAATCTTCCTTTAAAAACCAAACCAAGGTAAAATTTAACTTCTCATTTCCAGGGGAGCTGGGGAGATAGCTCAGGGACATAAGTGCCTGCCTGGTAAGCACAAGGTCCTGAGTTTAATCCCTGGTACAAACAAAACAAACTACTAAAATAACTTCTCATTTCCAGGAGACAGTGCACAATGAAAAGTAATGTAGGTGCACATGGGTGATTCACCCTAGGTCAGGGGTGGTGAACCTATGGTATGCGTGCCTCTGCAGGCTGTTTTAAATCACTGAAACCTCTGAAACGTTCACCTCCACTGCCCTACATGGAGGCAGAGCAGTCCTTTCCTCTGTCCTTCTGCTCTGTCCATGCCTGCTTTTCCAAACCTCATAGAAGGGTAGCACTGCTCTCGGACTTGTACAGCTGCTTGGCACAGGTCTAGCTCCAAGGAAATTTCTCAGAGAGGACTTCACTGAGCACCTGTGTGTCATTTTCTATTGTACCATTCCATTTTCAAAAAAGTGACCAATAACAAAAAATGTTATTTTTACTATTTATTGTGCTTCCCACAGGGGAATGCTAACTTCCAAAGAGCAGGACACGTGGGCTCCCAACTGTATCCGGGTCAGAATTCAGCACAAAATAGGTTAATGAATGGAAGGCAGAAAAAAGAACCGGTTATAAAAACCATCAGAACAATAGCACATGTGGGGAGGCTGGAGAGCAGCCAGAATCCTCATTCACCACCAGCCAGAATTCTCAGTCCAACCACTTCAGAAAATTGAACTTTTAAAACAAATTCTGAACATATTCATAGCCTATGACTCAGCAGTTCCAAGAGAAATACATACATATCCTCAAAAGACATGAGTCAGAGTGTTCATAGCAACGCTACACTGTGGAGGACCTCCTGAGCAGCTCTCCTTGAAAGAAGAGCTACTGTCTCCATTTTGACTGAGCCTTTTCTGTTTATCCTTCAATTGGCCTTAAGCAATGTATATTGGTCTAGCTGAGGTGCTGGTGATAGTCTTTGAAGGTGGCATTCATGTTTCCCTGGTAACCTACACCTGCTGCTCTTTAATGTGAGCCAAGTGGAGACAGGACAGGCTCTGCACCGCCAGCTGGGATGGAGCCTCGAGAAAGAGGCTATGACTTCCTGGCGCTTGAAAGACTACATCAAAGCAAAAGCACCAGACACCCCCCCAAAAAAATTTACTATCTCAATAACATAAACCAGATTGCTGTCTCTGCATATCCTGTCTGCATATGGCAGAGGTAAATGTTGGCCAACCACCTAGCTCAGCTCACAGTACTCACCCGCTTCCCACAATTCTGTCGTTCCTCCTCAAGCCACTTCTCCACTGAATAAAACCGGGTGAGGCCCTGGGTCAGCCTCTTTGTTCCAGAAAACCATCTTCATGGCTAGACCTAGGGCCCCTTGGCTCCCCAATAATTGTAAATATGTTTTAGTGTTTTTACTTTCACAGTGGGTTGCACTGGGAGTGGTAGATTGAAATTAACTTGATAGGATTCCAATAATGTACCTTTGGGATAACAAATATTAACTTCTTGGACTGAGAGGCGAACCTGAGGAGGTCTCCTACACTGCACAGCAGTGAAATTAAATCAATTGGAACTGTACACGTAACAGTGCAGAGAATCTTTTTTTAAAAATTTTATTTATTTTATTTATTTGTGTGTGTGTGTGTGTGTGTGTGTGTGGCCAGCTCAGCCCACCAGGGGGTGGGGCTGGCTGGCATGTGGTGCTGGGGGATTGAACTGCAGTCCCTGTGCTTTGCTAAGCTTGTTCTAAGTAGGTGCTTTAGACCACTGAGCCATCTCACCAGTCTGAGTGCGGAAAATCTTACAAAATAATATTAAGCTAAAGATACTAAGATATCAAAGATACAAAAGACCTGATATTGGCTATTATTTCCTTTGTACCATCTCCTTGAAAGAACTTCTGATTGTTTGAACTTTTTGTTAAAGAATGATGCGGGTATAGAAAAGCACCTAAAGAGGGCTGGGGAGATAGCTCAGTAGAATAAGTGCCTGCCTGGAAAGTGCAGGGTCCTGAGTTCAATCCCTGGTACCGCATAAATAAATAAATAAACCTTAAAAGAAATCTTCTTTGGGCCGGAGAGATAGCTCTGGCAAGCACAGGGTCCCGAGTTCAATCCCCGGTACCACAAAAAAGAATGACAGACACAGACAGACAGACACCTAAAAGACATAAATGACAAATACACAGCTCAGTGAGCTCACTATTGTTACTTACTCCCACCCCCAGCATTTCTTCTCATCCACCGTTGGCCTACAGATTTCCTAAGAATACTAAATGGGCTGGAAAGGCACGCTTGATTGGGCAAACGCTTTGGCTGCCCGGAGATACCCACTGGAGGGTCTCGGGCCACAAACAGACATCTGGAATGTGCACACCATCCAGCTGAGGAGCCACACGCCAGGGAAACTGATAAAGGAGTTGTAATAATATTTGAGTCAGTAGGTTGACCAAAACTCCATATATTTATTTTACTTCATTCTTTCAATAAGCCTAGAACAATGATAATACAGGCTAGATGCCTAATAGGTGCTCAATAATAAATATTTGCTAAGTGAAAGGCAGATGCTATTTACCTCTTCAAGATGATAACTTGTCCAGTATTATATAGGATAGCTTAGCTTTAAAAACTCAAACCCTATTCTCTCAGGCTTTCACAGAGAGCACATTGGCCAAGCAATGGCCATGACTCATCCACATGGCTGACACTGACAAAGGTTCTAAAACCTGAGGTACAGGATCTCAGGATAAATCCTGAGGGGATTTCACTGACCTTATCAGACCCAAAAGCTACAACTCTTGTTGCACAGGTCCTGCTTTACCTTGGTCTTAACCATCCAGCAGAAAAGTATAAAAACAAAGTATAAGAAGTAAAGCCATGCTGTTATGTTGAGCTGTAGGGGATTCAGGTCAACAATTTCTGACATTGCCAGTCAAGTGGAAGATCCAATACTATTATGGGCCACTGGACTATTTTAGAATATTTTGCTGAGTTAACACACCTATAATATTCAAATAATGGAACTAAACAAAAAAAGGGGATACAGATGAATGTCCATTTTGTATCTGTGTATTCAAAATGGTTAGGATAGATATATAGTTACATTCTCTTAATGAATAGAGGGATTTGTTCTAATAGTGTTTGTAAATAGGATATCATGTACAGCAATCTTGTACAGCAATTAACCACTAGAAAGAATGTATACAGTGTGTTAATTATTGAAACTGTCTTACCAATTTGGTTTGAAACTGTCTCATTGCTATTTGTTTCTCAATAAAATTATGGGAAAAAAAATAAAATAACTCAATCATGAAAAAACCCCAAAAAACTCAAACCCTGGCTCAGTGTGGCGACACATACCGTGATCCCAACACTCGGAAGCCTAAGGCAGGAGATCACGTTGCATTCGAAGCCAGGAAAAACTACCTAGTGAGACTCTATCTCAAAACAAAAATAAGCAATCCTCAAACCCTGAACAGCCAGATTCCAATGACTGTGCTCTTCCTTACCTCCCCTTTTAGGAACCGCGAGGTACAAAACCCGCTCCTAACAGACTTTAGAACGCTGCTCGGCCCTGAACAAGCGCTCGGTGCGTGTCCGCTGAAATGCGCAAACACTAAGTCTGCGGAGAAGGACGTCCGCAGGTCCAGAGGCCCGGCTCCCCCTCCAACCCGCAGGCCGCCACGCTCACCGGGGGCTGAACCTTCCGTGTGCTCTCCGCTTCGGGATCTCTGCGGGATTCAGCAATTCCAATCCGCCCGAGCGGGACTTCTCCCTTACAGCCACCGGCCGCTTGCAGTAACCAAAGCTGGCGCCAGGCTAGAGCTCGAAAAGTGCAGAAAAGAAAATTTCGCGCCAAAGGGCGTGGCCCCGCCCCCAAGCTGTCTACGCGAGGCGTCACCAACCACAGCCCGCTCCGCCTGGGCGGAGCGTGCCCCTCCTGGACGTGCGTGACGTACTTCCGCTGACGCTAGCAGCAGGCGTCCATTCGGTCGGCGCGCGACTCCCGGAAGTTTTGTACGTTGAGCTTTGCGCTTCCAAGTTGGTTGTTCCGCCGATTTACAGATTCCATTCACCTTTCTCCCTCGTTTTGGTTGTGTTTTATTGACCTGGAGGTGACATAGTAAAGAATTCCACGGAATTACACAGAACTGAAGGCGTTCTTAAATGGCGAACCGTACAGTAAAGGATGCGCACAGCATCCATGGCACCAACCCTCAGTATCTGGTTGAGAAGATCATTAGAACAAGAATCTATGAATCTAAATATTGGAAAGAAGAATGTTTTGGACTGACGGGTGAGCAAGAGCGCGCGGAATGCCTCGGCCCTCTTGTGGCCTTTCTCCTTACTGGACACTGGTAGGACCGATCCATGGGCTGGTACTGCAGAGAAGTATATCGGTTATCAAAAACAGTTTGATCGCCTACTCTGTGCCTAGACTTGTGTTGAGTATTGAGGTCACAGGTGAATTAGAGTCTTACTTTATTATGAAGGGTGTCTCAGAGTTGAAACAGACCATGTGATGTTAGCCAGCTGGATTCAAAACTGTTGAACTCAGGGAGTATATCTCGTTGGCGTGGACATCTGAAGGTCTTAAGGGAAGTCACCTACCTAAAATCAAACTTGTTGCTATCCTTAAGTCTAATTCCAGTATTTCTACATGTGAGGCCTAATATAAATGTGTTGGAGGGAAGCCTTTTAAGTCTTCTCATCTTATGATCTTTGTTTTAATTTAGGCATAAAATCCATATCCTGTAACACTGGCTTTGGACCTGAGACTAAGGCAGGCAACCTTCCTTAACCCTGCTTTTTCTTACCTGCATGTAGGGACAGTGATAGAACTTTCTGATTCGTGGTAAAGATTAAGACAGTATGGAAACCTTTCCCTTTATGTTAGCTGTCATTACTCTTAGTGTTATTAATACACCTATTTCCCCAATATTGAACTTTTTTATGTATTTTAGTACAGGGACTATAGGGTCTTACTACACAGATGGGACTCTTGTAGTAATCCTCCAGTTTTCAGCCTCGCAGGTGCTAGGATTACAGGTGTGTGTCACCACACCATCTCAGTGCGCCCTGGGGGCAGAGCCGGCATGGCACGCTGGGGATCAAACCGAGGCTTTAGTCCACTGAGCTATTTTGCTGGGCCTTCCTAATAGTAAACTCTTGGTGGCTGTTAAAATCTAAATCAGAGAAGCTTGAGAGATAGCTCATTGGCCTAAGCGCCTGCCTGGCAATCGCAAGGACCCAGGTTCAATTCCCTGTACCTCATGGTGTACCGGCCCTGGAACCCTAGGCGTCGTGGCACAGGCCTGTAATCCCAGCACTTCGCAAGATGAGATAGGAGGATCACTGTGAGTCCCAGCTGGGTAACAAGACCCAATAGCAAATATTGTGTGTGTGTGTGTGTGTGTGTGTGTGGCCAGCTCAGCCCACCAGGGGGCGGGGCTGGCTGGCATGTGGTGCTGGGGATTGAACCGTGGTCCCTATGCTTTGCTAAGCTTGTTCTAAGTAGGTGCTTTAGACCACTGAGCCATCTCACCAGCCCCCCCAATAGCAAATAAATAAAAGATTTTTTTAAATCCAAATCTTGATCTGTCCCACTAAAATCCAAAAGAAAACTCCTAACTTTTTTGCTTTTTTAGCTGAGCTTGTTGTTGATAAAGCCATGGAGTTAAGGTTTGTGGGTGGAGTCTATGGTGGAAACATAAAACCAACTCCCTTCCTGTGCTTGACCTTGAAAATGCTTCAGATTCAACCAGAGAAGGATATCATCGTAGAGTTCATTAAAAATGAAGATTTCAAGTAAGTGAACGTTGACCAGTTATTATAAAAGTTTCAGTGTAACTGCAGGGCATGGTGGTGCAGGTCTGTAATCCCAGCACTGCTAAGGTGGGAGGATTGCTGCAAATTTAAGGCCACTCTGAGCTACATAGTGAGACCCTGTCTCAAAAAAAAAAATAAAATAAAATAACAAATAATTAATTAAAAAATATATATATACACACAAACACACACATATATATACCTTCAATTTATTGGTTTAGAATTGGACTTTGGTTAACAGCTCTGAATATAATGTATCTTATCTTCACAGAGTTACACTTTATATTTTTGTCTTTAACACCTGAGTTTATATTTTGTTTTTGCTAATTATGTTAGCCTTCTACTTTACTTTGTCAGTCTTAGTAATTTTTCCCCCACGAAAGTATTTCGCAAATTGAATATTCAGGAAAACCAGTGTCTAATGTGTTGGTAGGGGAAAGTAAGAGGTGGTTGTTGTGATGCCTGGATTTATGTGATTTTATTATTCTGTGACTGGAAAAATCCTTAATTTTTTGAGCTTTAATTTCTTTAATCTGTAAAATGGGGATAAGACCAATTCATAGACTTACAGGAGAGTTAAAAAAGATAGTATATATGCACACCAACACAGTACGCGTTGCATGGGAAACAGTTAAATGTGTTGGCTGCTTTTTTATTATCCATTCTGAAGAAGCTCACAAATGTGGGAGACATATGGTACTACCATACATATGGTACATATGATAATTAGCACGTTATGCTGTGTTCCAGGGGCTTTACATACAATAATTCACTTGACTTTCACATCGGCACTATAAAAACTTTTACAAGGAAACTGAGGCACTGAGTGCTTTAAGTAATTTGCCCAAGGTCAAGCATCTAGAAAGTGCCAAACGTTATGTGCTATGCTTTGCCCTTTCTTTACATTTTATGTTGAAATTATTGCAGCTAGTAAATTAAGTAGCATCATATCCATCTTACAAGGATTCAGAAAACAAGTGGCTTGTCCCACAGAGTTGGTAAATTATGAAATCAAAATTTTAACCCAGATAGCTAATTTTTTCCAATACCCATGTTCATGGCTATGTGTACTTGAGCTGGTATTATTTAATACATCTTTATTAACTCCAGCATCTCTTTGGATTCCTAAAATAGTCCTGTGAAGCCGATGGTTTTTATACTGCTTTTACAATGTATCTGAAAGTTGAGCAACATGTGTCAAGTTTTCATAGCCAGTAATGTAGAGTGTGCTATGCTGTCAGCCTATTTTGTCTCCAAAGTCCTTTCTAGTCCCCCAAAGTGGAGAAAGAACCCGTTTATCCTCTGCTGTTACGAGACGATCCAGTTGTAAAACTCAGGAACTTCTTAGAATGGCTTGTTTTCATCTTCCAGATATGTCCGCATGTTGGGCGCGCTTTACATGAGGCTGACAGGCACTGCAATTGATTGCTACAAATACTTGGAGCCTTTGTATAATGACTATCGAAAAATCAAGAGCCAGAACCGAAATGGAGGTAAATATGATGCTAAGATTGTTACTCCGCACCAGTTTTTATGCCCCCAGTATATGTGAGGCAGTTTCCATGTGTTCTAGCTTCACAGTTCTACTAGCCTTCTCTCTAGAACTGTATTCCACAATGCCATGCTTGCAGTGTACTCTTACTAATGTAGGGATATGACTGAAAAATAGCAGATACAAAGAGCAGCTCCAGTCCTTTTACAAAGACTTTCTGCAATGAGGAAGAATTTGACTAATGACCTTTTGTCACTTAGTGTCATAACCAAAGATTGTAACATTGGGACCAAAATGTTTCAGATTTAAGAATTTTGGGGGTTTTGAAATATTTCTGTAAACTTTACTGACATGTTGGGCCAGACAATTACTTGCTATGAGGGCTTGACTTAGCATTGTAGAATGGTTAGTAGCATCCCTGGCCCCTACTTCTAGATACAAGTAGAATTTCTTATTAGTAGGGTGATATGGTTATGGTTGAAAACTACTAAACTAAGGTAATATATACTATAGAATCATAAAAAGCTGTTGCTGCATGTGCCATGTAAGATATATGTTCTAGGGGCTGGTGAGATGACTCAGTGGTCTAAAGCACCTACTTGGAACAAGCTTGGCAAAG